GAGATTTCTCGGATTTTAAAGCTTCAGATAACCCTTTTATCAGAACTGGACTTAGATTGAATCATTTTCCATATATTTTTAGATGGCAAAGAGCTGATCAAACGCGAGATCTACCACTTTGGCCCCATTCAAGCCTGTATGACCGTGCATGAACAGTTTCAACACTATGAATATGGTGAGTTCAGCATGGGGATTCCAACCGGCACATAAGCCAGATTGTAGCATTATGGAATGTAGCAGAAGCCAAGTCTTAGACTTTGCTAGAATTAGACCAAGCTAGTGTCTAGCTTTTTCCTTTCCAGAGCCTCAAAACTAATTTTGAAAAACGATTTCAGGAATCTACTCAAGTGAAACTTTCTCCAATGTGATTTATGGTCATTGTATGAAATTGTTGGGATGGGGTGAACAAGATGGAAAAGAATATTGGCTATACGCGAACTCGTGGGGGAAAAGCTGGGGAGAGAATGGTAAGTTTTAGTAGGATTGGTACACAAAGTACATTTTAGTCTAACCAAGATTGGTACCAATTTGATTCTTCAGGTTTTATACGAATCAATATGAAAGACGTTATAACGGACGCCTCGGCTGGACTTTTATGAAATTGTTCATTAGATTAGGATTAATAAATTGGTTTGACTTTGTGTGGCAAAACAAACATAGATAAATAATTATTGTGAATGAGAAGCAGAACTTTTTAGGGCCATTGATTGTTACCTACTAGCACATTCGTTTTGCAATGGGAATCTTAGAATTGAAATCGGAACAAGTATCACAGCCTAGATTTTGTTGGATCTAATAAAACTCCTTCCACAAACGACCAACATCACATTTGTTCTCGGCTTGATTCTTGAGCTCACTCTTGATTGATTGCAACAATGTACTTTAACCGGCCTAGAACCAGAGGTCCTTGACGACCTGACTCGACTCGACTCGTGGCTCGACTCGACGCTCGTTAACCGAGTCGAGAATCGTCACGATTTTGCATTTAATATTTAACTTCTTGGCTCACAAAAGCGAAGTTACAAGGAAATTTCTAAAGGATTTGCAAATTGATTAGATTCTGGTACCTGTAGGGTGCACCAAGTACATTCAAGCACCGGATGTGGTCTGGAATGCTCCTTTTAAAACAAGGATTCAAGCTCAAGCTTGAAGCTCTGAAGATTAAATGATGAATTGGCCAAGACATTTAATATTTAATTTTTTAGCTCACAAGATCGAAGTTACAAGGAAATCTCAAGCAATTTGCGAGCCGCTAAACCGTCAATGTTAAGAAATCTGGAATAGAGATTGCAAAAAGGGATGTAATCAATTTCAAGCCAATTTCCTAGTTGCCTAAATTGTAGCCAATCAATTGTTTAGAATCTCTTTAGCTAATCGAATTGGTCTTGAGACGGATGACACAAACATTTCAATATTCCAACAAAAGAGAATAAGAATATTGCATTAATTTGCGTTTTTGCTAATGTGAAAATAAGACTGCTCTGCCACAAGCATCAAGAATTGCAATTTCGATTACAAAATGCAAATTCGAAAAATGAGTAATCACTGAGGAGCGATTGGCTAAAGCCCAAATGCTAAAACGCTCCAATGCTCAAAACACTTATCGAATCTGTTTCATTTTCATAAAGGGTCCGCCATAATTGTCGCCACAAGGTATCACGTGCGGTAACTACCTGACTCTTCTCAAGGATGAACTCTTGCCCTGGGCCCGTTAACATTTTGGAAATTGCATTTGGACTTATCAGCAAGATGGCGCACCGGCCCACAAATCCAAGAAAGTCCAAGAGTGTTGTCAAAACAACTTCCCGGACTTCATTTCTTTTACTGCGTGGTCACCTAGCTCTCCAGACCTCAACCCAATGGATTTTTCAGTGTGGGTGGTTCTAGAAGCCAAAGCTTGTTCAAAGGGCCACAAAAACATTAAAAGCTTGAAGAAATCACTGTTGAAAGCGTGGAAAGAGCTCGATGCAGCCTATTTGGTGCCACCGTTGACGCCTTTGCGAACCCAATGGATTGTTCAAGTAGCGAGCCTGTTCAAATTATGGTCGATTATGATGGCCGATTCGAATTTGATAGTTCAATTATAATTGTTAATGTACAATAAATGTTTTTCAGTTAAAATTTTATTTTTTTGCTCTTGTCTGCCTTAGAATCAGAACTTTATCTTGTTGCGACAATTATGACGCACCCTGTCTACTTCAACAACTATTCGGTCCAATGAAAATTGTTAAAAACAATTCAAAACAGACTATATTTTTCATTAATTTCTCATCTCATTTCCCATTTCCAGATTCCCCAAAGACTTCGCAGGTGATTAGTGTCTAAATTTGCCTCTAATCACTACTTTGTCAACCCAAAAAAAACATTTCCAGCTGTCTCGACCTTTTAAATGTATCAGAATCCCATTGATTCTCATTCTCTCAAAAATTTTGATGGAATTTCAATTCATCATCTACTGTATCTACGGAATTCCGTCAGCGATTCTCAATCTTTTACTAATTATATGCATTTTCAAGAGTAAAACCCTTCTACAAGCGTCGTTCTATCGGGTTTATTTATTCGTTTTGTGCGTGGTCAGTTTTAAACTTTCAAATAAATCACATATTTCTAAATCTAACTTTAGTATCTCTTCACCTATATTAACACATATCCGACAGTGAAATTGCCGGCGTTGCGAGCGTTGGCTCGGTTTTTTGCCGATGTCGAGGACACATTTCCGCCATTTCGCGTGTTTTTCATGTTCCAAGTGGCCGCATTTCACATCCAGAACATGTCCCTTTTGTTAATGCATCTCAATCGATTCACTAGTGTTTTAATGCCGTTTTCTCATCATCGAGTAAGTGAGCTTCTCAATCAAGTATCATTATTGAGCAAAAAAAACTCTGGCTTAGCCTTTCAAACGATTTTTTGCACTATAAAAGTTAAAAATTACCCATCTCCTGGACTTACGCACGTCTAAAAACGTTTGCTTTTATGTATCTAGTGATAGAAAACAAGTTTTGAACATTTCTAAACATTTCTAAACATTTTTAAACCTTTTTTAACATAAACAACATTTCTGTTGATCTTCATTCGAGTTAGCCTCTTTTTAAATCATTCCCCACAGCCTGTCAAGGCTGTCAAAGCTTCTCAAAGCTCAAGCCTGTCAACGCATCTCAAAGCTCAAGCCTGTCAACGCATCTCAAAGCTCAAGCCTGTCAACGCATCTCAAAGCCTGTCAACGCATCTAAATATTCGGCACCACCGTTGCGATTTCCATTCAAGACTACAAATTTACATCCAAAAGTAGTTCTAAAGTAAGAAAAACGTGAAACGACTACGGAACTTCGCTCTATCAAGTATCATTATTGAGCAAAAACTCGACCTCGTTCAATTGTTATCTCGTCTGGATACCTTTCCCTCCCCCAATCTTGTTGTTGTCTAAATTTGCTCGTTTCCTCACTGTTAAGTCGATGTTAAATACAAATTAAATCAGTTAAATTGTGGCAATTTGGGACAAATCTTGGTCCATTTTGCTCGAATCCTTCCGCATTTTAGCCCCATTATTGAATTCGTGCAAGTTATCCGTTGGATTAAGGCAAAAGTACAAATAACGGGTAGTTGGGTCGCCAGCTCCCTGTTCCCTTGACTCAATTGAAGCTTTGAATGCACATCCATACATATTTTGCCCTTTAGAGTTCCTATAGGGTCACAGGCCAGGCTTCGGAAGAGTGCGGTGACGATCCAAGAATCAAACAGGGTGCGCCAAAATTACGGCTTCACCTTTTCATCAGATTGCATGCCAAACGCCACAATCACTTCAAAAATTCTAAGTGTTATATAGTGAAATGAAGCCTAAATTCTTACCTACATTTCTGTATTAAAAGATCTTTGATTGGAGTTTTGCAGCGGATTTTTCAGACCCTCAAATGAGCCCAATCCGACCAGTCTACCTACATTTCTGTATTAAAAGATCTTTGAAGGAAGTTATGACGAGTTACGCAAACGGCCCTGTTGCGTTGACCGCAAACGACCGCAAATAATATTGCGGAAATTAGGCTACCCCACAGACTTTCCTTTTGTCTCATTTCTTGTGTTTGTAAGTGAATCAGTCAATGACTTCAAATTTTTATTTGTTTTCAAAAAGAATATCATTTATACAGTTTGAAGAAATTTCTTTCTATATAGTAACAACTTCAGTAAATATTTCAAAGTTGGCTAAGCATCAGCTAAAGATTAAGCCTAATGTAAGCACCAGTTTTAAATTTGCTTATCGATCAAGTTAGTGCCAAATAGAAATCACAAATAAGTTGAACAGTATTTGAGCTATTTTTTCGTATTTTCTACAGGAATTCGTTTTTTACACCAACTTTGACCCATAAGCAAAGGCTAATTTCAACTAGATTTATTGGGTTGTCCAGTTATGCATGCGCGTTTTTACTATTTTGTAAATTTCTCAAGATATCGAACAGATGTATATGAGTGTTATATATCATTCGAAAGCTGAAGATCTCCTCTACATTTTGGAATAAAAAAGTTTTTGAATTCATTCAACTTTTTGGGAAATTGACTGCACAAAGGGAGAGGTCGTTTTCAAAAAAAACCCATTCCAGTTTAGCTAATCCTCAAGTTTTATGGTGTAAAATAACCGCCCAGAAAAGAAAAGAAAAGTAAAGATGCTCTGAAATTGTTATATTTTAAAAAAAGTTGCATTGATATATCTATTGGCCAAACATCAAACCGTTAACTCAATTTGAGCGCAGCCAAAACTTGATCCAAAGGCACCCTTCCATTTTTTGGTCACCGCTTCTTCTGTGCAGTCAGTTTGCCCAAAAACTGAACAAATTCAAAAACTTTTTATATCAAAATGTAGAGGAGATCTTCAGCTTTCGAATGATACTCATATATATCTTTTTCTTGATTTCGGTATCTTGAGAAATTTACAGAATAGTAAAAAACGCGCATTCATAACTGGACAACCCGATACTTTGCTAAGCAAATTTTTAGTATTAGCCGATTTAGGAACCCGATCCATGGACAAATGGTGGCCCGAAGACGAAAAGCGGATCTCGATCTGAAAATTCACCGCAAATACCTTAATCTCAAGATACTTTATATTCACTTGTATCATCGTCTTCTAAAATTGTCTTCTAGCAAAGGCAGAGAAGCCACAGTATGCCAGATTTGAACACTGGCGTACTTTGAGCTCATCGCAATGCAGAAAGCTATGCTCATCGCATCTGGTGCACAGAATTCCTCAAATTTTTGGCCGTAGTTTGCGTAGTGGGTCTGTAGCTTTCTATTGCAAGAAATGAAGGAATTTAGTGCACTCGAAAGGCTGCGTTTACTCGAGCACAAAGTCCAACAAGGCCACAGTATGCTCAAAGCATTCGGTGTCATTTTTTTTTCAGCGAAGCAAGAAAATCAAGAGTTTATTCAAAACGGGAAACACTTTTTTTTTGCCGGAATACCCATAACGAGAAGCCCAAACGTTTTGTTAAAAAAAAAAAAAGAAAAACCGTTCATAGGTTGACTAGTTTTATTAGGTCGGTGCCAGTCTTTACAATGTTTTTTGAAAAATAATGCCGTCACCAACAAGATTTTATTTAAACTATCAAAAAGGTTGATTGTTTCTCTACAAAATGGCTTTTGAGAAATTTTTGGAGTAGTTTTTTTTTGTGGATTTTAAAAGGTGCAAAGACGAGTATCCAAAACTCTTCTGATGCCGAAGCTCCGTTGCCAATTTGAACACTTTCTTCAATACACACCTTCAATACAATTTTGGTGTTCAAGTAAAAAAGATAGAGCTAATTTGATTACATAAGTCTGTAAAATTTGAAAATGAAAATGTTTTTGTGAATTTTCAAAGGCGCAAAGGCGAACACCCAAAACTGCTTCGACGCCGAAGTCGCAATTTGGACACTTTCTTCAGTACAAACCTATTTTGGTGTCAAAGTAAAAAAGATAGAGCTTATTTGATTACATAAGTCTGTAAAATTTGAAAACGATTCGTTCAGCCATTTTCTTTAAAACAGCAATTGAAAATTTTACATAAAAATGCTTCACCGAGTCGAGGAAAGCTTTGAGTTTTCTCTACAAAAGTTTTCTCTACAAAAGTTTTCTCTACAAAAGTTTTCTCTAGAAAAGCCATTTTTTAGAGAAATGATAGCCCTTTTTAATAGTTTAGACCGCAACAAATTTGATAAAGAACCCTTTTCCATGGAAAGAAAAATTTGCAAAAAAAATTGTAAAGACCTATGCACGAACCTAATATTAAGGACCCGTAGTTGAGCGCAAATCTTTTACAAAAGGCCAGAGATTCTTTACAATTGCATAGATCAGTCAAAAGTAAGGTATTTGAGGCGTAGGATTGTGTGTTTTGAATGCGCAAAAAAAACGTATCTAGAAACAATTCTATTCTGAAAATTTTGCCTCCAAAAGCAAAATCGAATGAGTCTCCCCATTTGTCCATTGGTGTACAGAGTACCTTTAGCCACAACTCTTTGGCTTATTCGATTTGCATTTGGTAGAATTTCGATGCTAACAATACGATAAACGTCGGCACAATTCCAATAAACACCCACAAAATTTGCATAGAGACAAAATTTGCATAAAATTAGAATTCAAAAAGTTCAAGCCCTTGTATCATAGTTTGCTTTTCTCATTTCTTACTATTGGGATTCAGTAGCGATTAAATTTAATGGATTTAATGGGAAAATAAAAATTTCTTATCAAATAACACAAAAAGCACGCAGCTTGGATAAGTCTATGAAAGATTCTGGCTAAAAAAACCTTGTACACCCTGGGAACGATCAGAAGGTCAGAAGATTAATGTCCAGGCACGAATTTTGAAACTGAAATACTGTATTTCTTCGAATAGAAGACCAGGTAAAGAGTATTGCGTAGCAGCCCTTTTTAAGCAGCCCTGCGCGTAGCAGCCCTTTTCAACATTTCTTTTCTGCATAAAAGCTTTCAATCAAGTGCTATAGAGCTGGAAAATGGCTCAAAAATCTGTTAGTTCATGTGGTATTTTTGAGTCATTTTCCAGCCCTATAGGACTTCATTGAAAGCTTTTATGCAGAAGAGAAATTTTAAAAAGGGCTGCTACGCAGGAGTACGCGATGATACTCTTTGCCCGATCTTCTATTCGAAGAAATACGGTATAAACGGTATTTTTCAGCGGTCACACAGCCGCCAGTTTTTAGTAAACCGATGAAATAATCATAAATAAGCGCGCCAGAAAGGATATCTCGTTTTTCTCGGATAATTTTCTCGTTTTTGATTCAGAAACGATATTTTTCATTTACCTTTTGCCTCAAATCCCCTACTTGCACGAACAATAAGTTCACGAAAATCGGAGAAAGCATAGAAATAGACAAGAGTACGGAAATCGATGACAAGGGAAAAAGCAAGAAAAGCCGGGTCAAGAGGGGAAGAGCTCAGCCATTTGTGCAGAAAAAAAAGGCTTCTCTTCATCATTTTTTTTGTCTAAACCATCTTCTCACTTCTCGTCGCTGAAAGAGGCGGTCTCGCGTTGTACCAGTGAACAAAGCCGATTATATTGATTCCGACTAAAAAAAATTGATTCTGACTTTGGATTTTGACGGGATTAGCTCGATTTGATGACTATTTATAGCCAAAATCTCTTTGTCCCTTTTTCTAAACTTGAAACCTTAGAACAACGCCGTCTTATCATAGATTTGGTTGAGTGCTTTAAAATTGTAATAGGTTGATGCATAAGTCTTTTCGTTTTTTTCGTACTTCTGTTAAAAAGTAACAAATTCACCAATTAATCTATAGTTTGCTCTATAAAAAAAGTGTTTTTTTGTTCAATTTGCATCTTTTTAAATCAATTTCGGTTCACTTTCAAGCAAATTCGAGAGTGAAAAACGCCTTTTTCGTAAAAATCTATAAAAAACTCTACGGAAAAATTGGCTGAATGAATTTCTCTGAAATTTTGGCGAAATATCAAACTTTTTTTCTCTATCGTTTATCTATTGACACGAAGATAGGTTTTCTTTAGCTAAGGTGTCTAAACCGCATCATCGAGTTAGCCCTTTTTTACTACCCGACTTCATACTCTCAAGAAAATCCAGGCATAAAATATTTTTAAACCCGTTTTAATGTTATTTTGCAGAAAAATAATTGGTTTTTCTAATGAAATCAACCGTAGTTTAATTGGTGCATTTGTTGGCTTGAAACGGCAGACGAAAAGGAACAAAAAGACTTATGCATCAACCTAATAGAAGGAAAACATCAAAACCCTCTTTTTAAAAATCTTTTTCGACTAAACTCGAGGCTTTGCGACTAGGCGTGGCTCTTTTATCTTGCATCCCGAATCTGCTTCCTCTAAATCCCCTAGAGCTTTTTTCGTAAATCGTGTGACTAAAGTTTGGAATGCCCTTCCCGACAAGTTGCGTTTGTCCATCGGTGGAGATGGACATCTCCACCGTGTCTGATTTTAAAAGGGCTATTTCGTTGCATTTTAAGTGACTTTGTCATCTTTTATCTAGTACATTTTTCATGTCGTTTTCGCACTTTATTTCTTTCTGAATAAAGTATTTATATTATTAAAGAGCTAATTTTGACTAGCGCTTCGTTTTTCGGTGTGAACGTAAATAGAAGTGGAACGAAAAAAGCTTGATTGATCTCCTTTAAAACGCTATTTTCGAAATGTTTGTGACTTGAAGATAGAGCATAACAAGTCTATCTTTTAGTCAAAAAAACTTTTCGAAAATATAGTGCTAAAGGAGATAAAGCTAGTTTTTCCGTTTTACTCCTACACACAAAAAAGCAAGGCCAACTTTTGACTATTAGATTCAGGCAATAAATGGCTAAAAGCTGAAGGTAAAGTGTTATTTTATTTCTTGTAAACTAGTCCAACACCAAGAGATTTGAGCTCAAAGGCAGATTGCCGATGGCAAAAGGGGCAGGACGCATATCATATCAAATTTCTTCTTCAGTGTCAAATCTAGATCTAGCAAAGGATTGCCCTAGAATTGTTCCAAAACTTTTTCCTGGCCAAGAAAGACCAGGTTCAGATCAGAAGCCCTCCTGGTTCTGGCTTCTGGTTGGTCATGACCAGTTCCCAACTTTACTTCTAGTTTTACCTGCCTCTGGCCTGGTTTACTTTACTGCAGACAATGGGACAATGGATTTACTCGAGTTTACTGTACCTAATTTGTTCCAAGTCTGGTTTCTGGCCTGCTTTACAGACATTAGGCAAGATTGTGGAAAATTTGATACGCGCTATTGGCAATCCAATTTTGAGCTTAAATATCTTGATGTTGGGCTGCTCAATTTAAATAGTTTTTATACCAATCGACAGAGAAAGACTTGGCGCATCCAATGATACCAAGAATATTTAAATTGGACAGTCCAACACCAAGAGATTTGAGCTCAAAGGCAGATTACCGATGGCAAAAGGGGGCGGGGTTTTGAGACCTTTTATACGCGCCTTTCCCCCTTTGCCATTGAAGCATCGATTAAATCCGTTATAGTAATAGCAGATTGAGCTCAAATTTAGATTACCAATGCCAAAAGGAGCGGGACGCATATCAAATGTCCGATAACCCGGTTGGAATATCTCTATTTTCATGAAACTGCAAGAACTACCTAGGTTTTTTCTTCTGATAAGATCTTCTTGGTATTCTTCTTGGTAAGTTCAAATTACAAAGCTGGACTTTGTTCTATTACCAAATAACAGTAAATGACTCACAAGCAACCGCCAAGAACGTCAAGAGAAACAGCAAGAAAGTGCATCGTTCAATCACTGTCGCCAACCAGTCATATTCGATTTTTGAGAGTTCCCTTTTGATTCTAAAAAATCTCATAAGCTGAATCTCTGTGTTTAACATAAAGCATGCCACTAGTTTAAATCAGTTTTCCTTTTTTTTTGCATTGAAACATGGACACTTAGAATCTGTAGCTTTCAGACAAAAGACAAGTGCCATAGAATGATCATTAGAAGAATCTAACTATGCTTTCTTTGAAAATGAAGAGGTGTGAATGACATTCAAAAAGCGAAATTCCACTTCAGCCAGGGGTTAGTTGTTTTGAATGAAGAGAATTCGAAGAGGACATGGAGAAATTGCACTTGGAAATCAAGACCTAGCTGATGTTTTTGGTGATAGTTGTTCTTAAAGATAAAACTGCACAAGTTTATCCCTATTGTTCCGTTCAAGTGCTTTCTAGAAGATGCACTCCAAAAAGACAACCGTACTCTTATCGTCTTTCTTAACTTTGTGTCACAATAAGGCAATTTAGTTCATCATCAATCATCAATGTATTGGGTTGGTGAATTGAAATTGAGGGATGACCTGAAAATACCGTAAAATCTAAATTTCTTGTCTCATTAAGGGAAATTCAATCAATTAAAGTCGTAGGAAAATAGAATACGGTCGCTTTACTATTACTTTACTATTGGGTTGGTGAATTGAAGACTCTCGGCTATTGTCATATGTGACAGTTTGAGCACTTTCTTCAAAAGAAACCCATTTTGGTGTCAATGGAAAAGTTGTAGAGAATCAAAAATCAAGCTTATATCCAAATTTTCAGAACGATTCAAAAACTGGCTTTCAAGAAGTGCCAAATTTACGAATTTTCCCAAAACTTGCAACAAAACTTGCATTTTAAGCGAAACTACTAAGTGTATCTTTTTGGAAATTTGGCTATAAGCCTAATTTTTGATTCTCTACAACTTTTCTATTGACACCAAAATGGGTTTCTTTTGAAGAAAGTGCTCAAACTGGGACATCTCCAGTCCTCGATTTTTGAGTCTCACACTTGTCTCACACACAAACCAAAATCCTACTACGAAAGAGGAATCCGCAAATTGCCTGTAAAATGGGCAGAAGTCGTCAATAATAATGGAAATTATTTGGAATGAATTGATGGTTTTATGTTGAATAAATTTTAGTTCAAAGTCCGGCAGTTTTCAATGCACCAACCCAATACATCAATCAAGCTATTTTAAATGCTAAGTGCATCTTTGATATTGTTTGTTACTTTCAGTTTGACACTATCAGTTTGTTAGGATCAGTTTCAATCTTAAAATCCATTTCAAAGCAAAGTTCTCCATGTCATTTTCAAAAGAAAAAGAGAAATCAAAGGCTCAGTGTTTTTCATTTCTTTTTTTTGTACCCACTCCATCTCTCGAACTTCCTTTTCAATCGCATCAAAATCAATTCTAAATTCATGTCTAGTCCAACAAATTTCAACTTAAAGCCAATAAAGCTTGAAAATGGATGTCAATTTCTAAAATTTTCTTGAAAAATAGCATACTTGTCTTCTCCATCAGCTTCACTGGCCACTTTCGAAAAGGCTCTCGCTCGGAATTGGGCACTGAAATGGGGAGAGTTGGACATGTTTGTGAAAAAAACCAGAACCTTATTATGTTACCTATTACAAACTGATTTATGCAAACCAATTCTTAAACTTGATGGTAAACTGTCCGCAGACGGACTATCTTCAACTTAAAAGTTTCCATTTTTACCCAAAACAAGACTTCTTTTATTACTTCTTGTTCTTTTGTTTTTGAAAATGAGTTGAATAATAAAATCGGAATAGATTTTACATTTTAAAGATTTTAGCCTTCTTCCATTAAATATTATAAACTTCAGTTATAGTTATAGACATTAGACATGAGTAATCGGGTCGGGTCGGATCGGGTCAACCCGACCCGACCTGAAAGATCTGAGTTTCGGGTTGACTCCCCGATCCGACTCGAAAGATTTGAGTTTTGGGTTGACCCGACCCGACCAGAAAGATTTGAGTTTTGGGTCGACCCAATCCGACCTGAAAGATTTGAGCTTCGGGTTGACCCGACCCGATCTGAAAGATCTGAGTTTCGGGTTGACTCCTCGATCCGATTCGAAAGATTTGAGCTTCTGGTTGACCTGACCCGACCCGAAAGCTTTGAGCTTCGGGTTGACCCCCGATCTGACTCGAAAAATTGAGTTTTGGGTCGACCCAATCCGACCCGACCCGAGAAATTTGAGTTTCGGGTTGACCCGACCCGACCCGAAAGATTTGAGCTTCGGGTTGACTCCCCGATCCGACTCGAAAGATTTGAGTTTTGGGTCGACCCAATCTAACCTGAAAGGTTTGAGTTTTGGGTCGACCCAATCCGACCCGACCCGAAAGATTTGAGTTTTGGGTTGACCCAATCCGACCCAAACCCATGCCTAATAGACATGAGTCTTCTATTGACTAGGCATCTGGGCCTTCTCAAAAGATTTATAGTTTGGCTTAGAGTTCCATCTAGTTGTGCAAGATGTTTTTAAATTTTTAAAAAGCCAAAAGTGCCGAAGCGGGCGGGAGTCGAACCCGGTCGTGTGGGCTAGAGACAACTGCACTCGCACTGCGCCATCTACTAGAGCATGACCGAGTGGCTAACGCGCGCGTCTCTCAAACAAACGGAAGAGAGGTCGTGGGTTCGCCTCCTCTTGCCGCCAATTCTTTTGTTTTTTGCTCCAAAAATTGGTATTCCGAAAATTCTGGTATCAAATATTGCCAATGTTGAGAAAAATGGGTTGATTTAAAAATATAAGGAACAGTACAGTTTTAGAGAACCAATAAATTGGGTTGTTGGTTTGGGGAAATAATTGAAAGTGTTTTGATGATTGAAATAATTGAAAAATGGCTCTAAATCTTGATCACCACTCGGCTATGAATCGTTGCTCTTTTCTTGACATTTTAAAGTGATTATCGGTTTTGCTGGCACATTTTAGCTAAATCTTGATACTAATTGTTGATTAAAGTAAGCCAAGAACTAGATCTTCTCGTTTTGGTTAGAAAAAACGAACAAAAATAAGTCCAATCTTTAAGCCATGAAACTCACTGTTCTGCTGGAGTCACTGTGGTCGGACTTGCGATCTTGCTCGCTTTGTTGTCAACTAAACAAATTGCATTTCTGGTGGGGAATCTTGAAAGTCGCTTCAGTGCAAATCGAATTTCTAAGATAATCGAATGAATGTGATTTTGAACTTACTTGAAGCTAGCTTTTCTTTCATTAGGTGGAAGATCGAGACTTGAAAAGTAGGACTTTAGCTAGAAAGGAAGTACGCTTTTGGGGTCAACCTCCCCTAGAAAGGAAGTAAACTAGAAAGGAAGGATGCTAGAAAGGAAGTACGTCAGAAAGGCAGTACGCTAGAAAGGAAGTACGCTAGAAAGGAAGTTCGCTAGAAAGGGAGTACGCTAGAAAGGAAGGATGCTAGAAAGGAAGGATGCTAGAAAGGTAGTACGCTAGAAAGGTAGTACGTCAGAAGTATTTTGAATATTTTGACAGAATTTCCACTTACCAGTTCCATTCTGGATCAGCGGCTCATTATTATTTGCGTAATCTCCCATCGGATAAGCAGCCATTTCCGTGCCGGCCGAGAAGAAATACTTGGCGAATTGGGCAATTGTCGACTTCCGCGACTCATCCTTGAATTTATAACGAAAGTGACGCTGAAAATAGCATCACAATTAGTTTAGGCCGGTAAATTGATGACGGGGAATAGATCGTTTGAAATTTTCGAATGAAATTGAATTGAAATAATTGAAATATCGTCTTTTACTTCCAAACGATCCTCATTCTCAGGGTTGATAGACAGGTTCATTCAGGGGTTGATAGACAGGGGAGCTCGATCGGGGATTTTTTTGCTTGGAAACATGCTCAATTTCAAGAGAGTCATTCAAGGTTTGAGTTCTGCAAAAGCGCTATCTATCGATCTCACTAAATCATCATCTTCATCATCGTCATGGTAGTGGTGATTGTGTTTGACTGCGTAACTCGCACGGGCATGCGCGAGTGAGATTTTCTGGGATCGGGCAACAGTTACAACTATTCTCATTGTTACCTTTTCTTAAGGATGCAAGTTTATCGCTAAAGTTTTTGTCAATCAATAAGTACTGTAGAATTAAGTGCAAAGTTTGTCAATGATTGCCAAAGATTGTCAAAACTATACTCTTTACTAGACTTCTAACGAAAACATCAATCAGTCCTTTTTGCCGTTAGCAATTTAAGGTTTTTCGAGTTTTTCTCAGCACCAACCCTTTGATTTAGGCTATTTTGACTATCATTCAATGCAGAATAAAATTGTGCGTCGAATCATACCAAAATCAACTCAAAATGTAACATCCACGAAAAGTTGTTGGTTAAAAACCTAAATCCCGTGCATATTGGGCCGGACTTGACCTTTTGCCTCATAACTTTGCATGGATATTACATTTTGAGTTAATTTTGATACCATTCGACGCACAATTTTATTCTGCATCAAATTATAGTCAAAATAGTCAAAGTCGCCGGGTTAATGCTGAGGAAAAGCCTAAATTGCCAACGGCAAAAGGTTAAGTCCGGTCCATGATGGGCGGGGTTTAGATTTTTACCCAACAACTTTGCATGGATATTATATTTATTTTGAGTTAATTTTGATACCATTCGACGCACAATTTTATTCTGCATCAAATTATAGTCAAAATAGTCAAAGCCGACAGGTTGATGCTGAGAAAAACCTTTAAATTGCTAACGGCAAAAAAGGACCGACAAATGTTTTTGTTAAAAGCCTACTAGACGAGTCTGGTTCACAAGAAGCCAGGGCTGGATCTGGTCCGGAATTGACTTGAACCTGGCCTCCAATATAGAGTCACTTGTTTAACAGATGTTTTCGTTACAAATTTACTCTTTACTCAGCAATTGTAGCCTATCTGATCATAAGATTATACAGTAAATTTAGTAGTTATGTGGACAACAATAGTACAATAGTACAATTGTACTAATACAACAGTATTAGTACAATTCCCAAACCAAAAGTCAGTGAATTAAAGTACTCGTCAGCTGTCAGCTTGTACTTGTCAACTGTCAGCTTGTACTTGTCAGCTGTCAGCTTGTACTTGTCAGCTGTCAGCTTGTACTTGTCAGCTGACAGCTTGTACTTGTCAGCTGTCAGCTTGTGCTTGTCAGCTGACAAGTACAAGCTGTCAAGTAATGATAGTGAGTCCTACTGTAGGCTCTGCCTAACTCTTCAAAGCTGCCTAGTTTTGAAACCTTGCAGCATCTTTAATATCTCCGTAGCTAAGTAAACTAGCTCTAACTATAAGTACTTTCAGCTTAAAACTAGTTCAAAAACTGTTAAAGTTGGTGATTTTTTAAATCGAATTTCTTCATTTCGCGCTTTATGCTTGGAAAAAGTTCACTGTACATCTTTGAAAGTTCAAAGCCAAAGCATGGGGTTTGTTCGATCGGGGACTACGATCACGATATTCACCCTTACCTTCAAAGCCTTGCAAAACTACTGAAACTTAGATTCTGAAGCTCAAACACACCTTGTTCATTAAAGTCGACTTTGGCTTGAGATGGGCCGGGATTCGCACCATTGCCACTCGACTGATGAAACGCACGATTTTGATCATCCGCATTGGCATTCGTTTGCCTGAAAGACATGTATTTTTCTATTTTTAAAACAAAGAACCTAATAGTTTAACATTTAATTTACCTAGTCTTCCAAACTTCTGAATGGAAATCACAAACGAGGCGGCGATAGCTCCAACCGAGATGATTACAATAGCGCACATGTAGAACCAACCTGAAAAGCTACTATAACAATAGTTTTTGTCAGTTTTCAAATTTTATCAAATAGAGATTGAATTGTCTAACAAATGCTGAAGATCGAGAGACAAAACTCTCAAATCAAAGCACATTATTGTCCCAGTTTAGCCGCTGTTTAAGTATAGAATTTCAGGCAAGAATATAGCCAAATTTAATGCAAGAATTTATCCCAAACATTTGGGCATATCAACGACCAAAAAGCAAAGAAAGCCCACTAGGGAAAGGCATCGAAAATTTGGCGTCAAAACGGATGCTTTAAAACGCTCTTTCCTAGCGAAGTAAACGTAGGTAAAGTAAAGTAAAGTGAAGTAAAGTAAGCGAAGTAAACGTAGGTTGGTGGTCTAGTGGTTAACGCATTCGCTTCCGCTCACACGATCAGGGTTCGGTCCTTGTTTATTTATGATCTTTTTGTTTTTCTTTTAGGACAACTTCTAGCATTTTGCAGCTAATTGCACTCTATTTTTCTTTTAATTTCTTCGATCTTGTTTGTTATTTGTGCAAATTGTTTACACAATTTGCACATTTTCCTTGCAAATTTACGCTAAAATTCAACATTTAAATGCAAACTAAACACTCTTTTAAAAAACAAATCAAAGCCACGAGCTTTGAGTTTGTGCCTTTCCCTAGTCGCTTTGAGCTTTCCCTAGTCGCTTTGAGCTTTCCCTAGTCGCTTTGAGCTTTCCCTAGTCGCTTTGAGCTTTCCCTAGTAGCTTTGAGCTTTCCCTAGTCGCTTTGAGCTTTCCCTAGTAGCTTTGAGCTTTCCCTAGTCGCTTTGAGCTTTCCCTAGTCGCTTTGAGCTTTCCCTAGTCGCTTTGAGCTTTCCCTAGTCGCTTTGAGCTTTCCCTAGTCGCTTTGAGCTTTCCTTCGGCCGCTCACTGCTCCTTCTCATTCACGGATTAGAAAAGCAAATAGTAAATGCCAAAGTACCAAAGTACCAAAGCAATGTTTCATTGAAAAAGCAAGTTGACAAAATCTTCTTACTGATCAATGGAATAAAAGTGCTAGTCGAGGGCATTTGATCCGAAACCATTAACATCAAAATGGACATTGACAGAAGTGTCGTGATGCACAATGAGATTTTCTCTTCACGGACTTCGGTAGTTGAACTGAAGTTTGATTTTAATTGATTGATTGATTGAAATTGATTTAATCAAACAAATATTTTCATATCATTTTCTTATCATTTTCACCCCCTGTCGTAACTGTAGTCAAACTATAGAACGACGAACTCGGACTGGATAGGCTTTTCTTTGTATTCTAACAGACTGCCACTCGACCACCACTGCCTCTTAGCCTGGAACTCACTGGAAAATCTGCTCGTAAACTCGAGGCATGATTTTCAAAATTCATAACAAAAACTTTAAGCACTTATAACTCTTGGCAGAGTGCTCTATAGTAGAAACGGAAAGCAGATTCGGAATCAGCATGAAATTCTGCATCTAACAACCCATGGTCCATGTCATTTGTTCATCACAACTAGTTGACATTCCCTTGTCAGTATCAGTACTTATCATTTTCTTATCATTTTCGCCCCTTCAACTCATTCATTTGCACATTCTATTCTTGGGAACAAAAAGGAACGGAAAAAACTTTTGATTCGACTCTTTTAATCCCCTTCTTACACCTCAGCGAATTCAATTTCAACCAATTATCTTTGAACGCGTCAAAATTTTTCCGAGAATTGAGAGAAAGACTTGTCGCTTTGAAAATTGATGAAATTTGCTCTCTGAGGTAAGTGGATCCGAGGCTTTGTTCATTTTTTGAACGGAAATGAACACTTGAGTTCTCAAAGAGCAGAGAACAAGAGGTTAGAGATTTAAGGATGCTTTAAGGAAGGAAAATTCTCTCATCTATCTTTTTGCTTTGCCAAAATCTTTCAAAGTTACTTCCAAAGTTACTTTTAAAGTTCACCTTGTCGTAAAGAAGCCAGTGATCGCAATTAAAGTGATGATAAATGTTGGAATGACGAGATTTACGAGGTAGAACAATGGTCGTCTTTTCAGATAAAGAGTGAAGTCCAAAAGAGTGTAATTGTTTGGGCAACATACGTATTTCATTTCGTGTCGTTCAACTGAAATTTAGAGATATGCTGAAATTGTAGATCCTAGATTAACTAAGAGACTAAGAGACTAAGAGACTAAGATACTAAGATACTAAGAGACTAAGAGACTAAGAGACTAAGATACTAAGAGACTATGATACTAAGAGACTAAGATTAACTAAGATCTCGATCTTAGTTAATCTTAGTATCTTAGTATACGATCGAGAGTAAGAAAACTACAACAAAATCTTCAAGTCATAACTTTTTATCTATAGAAAGACTTCTGATAACATCAGCGTTTACTGGAGATTCTTAACGAAATTGTCTTTCTTTCAATAGCTATTGAACTTCACAAGTCAAGCTCATCAAGCTGAAGCCTGTTTAACTGATGATCCTTATCTCAAGCTACTTCATGATTCTTTCAGTCATGGTTTAACGACAGTTGAGTTCTTGTTAGACATGGGCACTACAAATTATAAACATAAAATACACACTTAAACTACAAACGTAAACTACAAACTTAAACTACAAACGCTTCTAACTTGCTACAAATCTACCGGATTGACATGATCTATAGCTCAAAAAAAAAGAGGATCTTAAGAGTTTTCGAATGGATCGAACACCAAAAAACATTAACGCTAAAGAAAGTTACAGTGGTTTGGAGTCCTGACTCGAAACGGGCCGTACTAACGCGTAGTCGAAGCGATCGAGTCAGGACTACAAATCACTGTAACTTTCTTTAGCGTTGATGTTTTTTCGTGTTCGATCCATTCGAAAGCTCTTAAGATGCTTTATTTTTTGAGCTATAGATCATGTCAATCGGGTGGATTTGAAGCAATTTAGAAGCGTTTGTAGTGTGATGGTTGGTCATTTTTGTAGTTCATAGTGCCCATGTCTAGTTCTTGTTGAGTAATCGGGTTACCTTGAGTTCCCATCAACGTCCATCCCTCATTGATTAGATAGTTGCTCGTTCCGACCTCCATTGTGTGCGGATGATAGTCAATGTCTTTGTTATCCGATGTCCAAGATCCAAAAATCATGTGACACGTTTGAACATCTAAAGATAGAAATTGAATTGGACAAAATGTGATATTTACCATATGGAAAGAACTGTAAGTAGAGCTTGCAAGAGAAAGTGAAAATGGCTGGATAGAGGAATTCGACATAAGAGCGCTTTTCCTTGTACTTTGTTGTGATCTTTGCGTACATCAAACGTCGTTGATCGTCGTCTTTCATCACAACACTGGAATTTCGATATTTAGATCAAGATCAATACATTCTTGACACAATCTTGAAAGATCAGCACATTCTTGACATAGTTTGACATTGATTTGGACATTGATATGAACATTGATATGAACATTGATTTGGACATTGATTTGGATATTGATTTGGACATTGATTTGGACATTGATTTGGACATTGATATGGACACTAAAAACCCACGTATTATACAATACAGTGTCCGGGATCCAAATCTGGGTCCACGGAATTTTCACTTCAGTGATATTCTCAAAGTTATCCGGATTCCAGTAGAGAAAATCGTCGTACCACCTGTGAAACGTTGGCAATACTTTGATCAGTCAAGTCACTTATCTCAATGATCCACGCACTCACTTTCACATATTGTTGTCGTTCGTTCTGAAATTTTGTCTTGCAAACAGTTTCGGTGTCTTTCACTGACAAAGCAATACCCACTTGGTGTAGTGCCTTGCAAGCCTGCTCTAGCTTACAGATTCTAATAGTAAAGCCCGGTTAAAACATTCTTAGATAGAAGCTATCTTATTGCTAGCCTGATACGATCCTAGTCAACTCTGACCTGAAATTTCTGACACCAAGTGAAAGTACTGATATTGACAAGGGAATGTCAACTAGTTGTGATGACCAAATGACATGGACCATGGGTTATTAGATGCAGAATTTCATGCTGATTCTGAATCTGCTTTCCGTTTTTACTATGGAGCACTCTGCCAAGCCTTATAAACGCTCAAAGTTTTTGTTATGAATTTTGAAACTATCCCTCGAGTTTACGAGCAGATTTTCCAGTGAGTTCCAGGCTTTAAGAGGCAGTGGTAGTCGAGTGGCAGTCTGTTAGAATACATAACAAAAAGTTTGAGCGCTTATAAGTCTTAACAGAGTGCTCCATAGTAGAAACGGAAAGCAGATTCGGAATCAGCATGAAATTCTGCATCTAATAGCCCATGTCACATGCCATTTGGTCACCACAACTGGTTGACATTCCCTTGTCAGTATCAGTACTTTCACTTGGTGTCAGAGATTTCAGATCAGAGTTGACGAAGATCGTATCAGGCTAGCAATAAGATAGCTTCTATCTAAGAATGTTTTAACCGGGCTTTACTATTAGAATCTGTAAGCTAGAGCAGGCTTCCAAGTTCTGAATCTAAGCCCAGCCAGAAGTCTTCCGGAGCTCAGGGCTACAGAACCAGTCGCCGAGGGTCAGCCTTTTGGCCAGGATCAGCCTGACCCAAAAAATTTATCTCTGTCAACCGAACAACTGAGATTTTGATGCTGAATTGATCCTCGTTCTACACGTGATAATCCAATCTATCAAACAATTCGTTTTCCTACCAATTCAATGATCTGATATAATTCCATTTTGAACGTGACATCCACCGATGTCGAGGCATTTCGCCGGGGTCTCAAAATATTTTCTCCCCTCTTGTTCATCAAAGCTTTCATCAAAGTCTGAGCTGTCGGCTCTTCGAGTTCCGTTTCGGCGAGCACTGAAATAAACACTTTTTGCACGCGGGTTCGGTTTTTTGAAAAACATTTCTATTTCACTCTTAGCTTTTGGGACAAAAGCATTGGCACGTGAGAGTTTCTAAATTTCCGGGTTTCTTCAAGCCTATTTCTCAAACTTCTAGTTCTTCAAACCCCAGGGAAAACTTTTGAATGTGTGAGAAGCCTTTGTAAACAGTTGTCTTAAGACTTAATCCATCATCTAGGAATTGGGAAAGCTTAGAAAGTCTTCGAAATTCTTGTATTTCAAAGCTCCTTACAGTAGGTATTAGAAGGATTACGGTAGTTTCTTACAGAGGTTTCTTACGTTAGTTTCTTACAGAGTTACGTTTCTTACAGTCTTACAGTTTTTTACAGTTTTTTTACAGGTTTTATAAAGATTACTTTAGAAAGATTACCTTAGTTTTACTTTATAATTCACAATTAGAGATGAAGTGTAGTTCTTGAAGGCCAATTTGTGAAAACTATCGTAATCTTTGCTGAGATAAACATGAACTAATCAGAAATACAGTCGAACTTCGATAACGATAACGATAACGAACTTCGATAAAATGAATTTGAGATTCTAAAAAGTGCCCAAGATTCCTGTGTAGCTGCCCCAGCCAAATGTAATCAATGGCCCTCCAAGGCAGCTACGCAGAAATTTTGGGCACGTTTTAGGTTTGTTATATCAAAGTTTTCGATCCCGAGCGATTCATTACATTGAGGTTCGACTGTAGTTCACTTTAAGATTGATGATTAGACTAATAGAAGAAGAACTTGACAATTAGATCTCTAGCTTTTATCTAGCTTCCACTTTTAAACCACTTGTAAACGGCGCCGCTCGTAAACGGCGCTGTTCGTGAACGGCGCTGTTCGTGAACGGCGCTGTTCGTGAACGGCGCTGTTTGTAAACGGCGCTTTTGTACACGGCGCTGTTTGTACACGGCGCTGTTTGTACACGGCTGTTTTGACTAGCTTCCCTTCTTCTCCTTGTAAACATGCATAGAATTTTAGTAGACAAACACGGCAACACTGGGTAAAGAAAATGAGGACGCATTTTAGCCAAAAAAACGCTTATTTCAGCAAACGAACATTGGGTGGAAGCTGTTTTACGTGGTGTTGGCGTTGAATTTTTAGGATTTCTCGAACTTGGGGAATCTAAAGGTATACATTCATATTGCTAAAAATAAAGGGGAAAACAGTTAGGCTAAATTTTGTTTTTTGATAAAAGACCTTAAATGATGATCTATATGATGTTAGAGATTCCCAAATTTGAGAGTGCTGTGCAAATGAAAATAATACAGTGCTCATCGTTTCTTCGAGCTGACCTCGCAAGTCTCTTTTTTGAAGCACGAACCCGAAAACTAACTAAACTACGAAATTTTCCTGAAATCTTGTAAGAAAGTTAGGTGATTTATTAATGAAATATACGATAAACAATGTCTTAAACAATATCGATAAACAAATGTTTCCTAGAAAGCACTAAACATGGAAAAATTCCAATCCCAATCCAATTTCACCTTCATTTTCTTGGCCGATTCTTGGTGGATTGCTTTGAAATTTTGTCTACATTTAGAAATCGACATTTTCAGCTTGTAGACAAAATTTAGAGCAATTGACCAAGAAACGACTAAGAAAATGAAGGTGGAATTAGGTTTGGGTTGGAATTTTCTCATGTCTAGAAAGCTTACGGAAAAACGACTCTAATCGTGCTGTCAACTACTTGTTTTAAACTACAATGAGACAGTCGTACGGTAGCTGTCCCAGGAGCACCTTTTAGAAAACTATTCAGCAGAAAACTATTCAATAATAAAATAATCAATAAAGAGAGTATAGTCGCCAAACCTGTTTCATAGCTAAATCTCTGTATTCCAACGTTTACAGCAAGTACTTTGTGCTTAAAAATGAAAATACACGCTTTTTGGTACACTCTCTTTCTAACTATTAGCTTGTTTTGCTGTAATCCAGACAGTCTAGACTGAATACTCTAATCTAGACTAAATACCGTAATCTAGCTATTCTAGACTGAATATCCTATTCTAGATCTTTTTGTAAGTTACAAAAGTAAATAAAGAATTGAGAGCTCCAGAAAGCGTGTGTTTCTAGGAAAATTTCAGCTCAACATTTATTGAACTTTTGCATCCTGTAGTGATTAGAAATTATCTCATAAACGATTTCTAATCACTACAAGATGCGACAAAATTCTTAAACGGATGCTCATTGATGAATTAAAAGAAGAAAATGAAGAAGAGAGTACTCAGAGTGTTATATAATTTGAAAGCTCTTAATGAATACTACAAAATAGAATAGCTGATCAACATCAACATCAATCAACAATTTGTGCCAATGTTGGAAAAATTTAAGGACTTGAACGTGACACTCCTGAAAAAGATGATCTTCTATTTTAACGTCAACTAGGCCAGTTATTATACTGATTATATCTGCATTAAATACGGGAATAAAAACCTCACCAATCAGTGCATACACTTAAGACAAAGTTCTAGAAACTGAAAAGATTTTTGAAAGTTCTGATAGAAACTGAAAAGACTCGCCACAGCCTATGGTATAGCTACGGCCTTGCCACTTTGAAACACGACTTCCGGACAGATCTGCCAAGTTAAGTAACGTTGGGCTCGGTTAGTCTCTGGTTCGAATCCAGCAGATAAGTCAGGGATATATTCCCTGAACCGAGTGCTGTAGGTAACCGCACCCATATGGTGAACTGGTTGGAAAAATTTAAGGACCTGAACGTGACACTCCTGAAAAAGATGATCTTCTGTTTTAAATGAAATTTCTCCAAGTTTGGCACTAATTGTTGATTTAAAACTTTCATTTAAAACAGAAGATCATCTTTTTCAGGAGTTCAAGTCCTTAAATTTTTCCAACATTGGCATAAATTGTTGATTTAGCTATTCTATTTTGTAGTATTCATTAAGGGCTTTCAAATTATATATAATACTCGGAGAACTCTCTTCATTTATTCCTTTTAATCCATCAATGAGCAGCCGTTCAAGAACTTTGCAACACCTTTCTGATCCTTGAACTTCTATCGTCATTTACTAAATACCGGTACCTGATTTTGACAAAATTCTCTTTAGAGAATTTTATTTGATGTTTTTAAAAATTCAAAGCACGAAAAGACTAGAATCTCAGGAAAAGCGGAACTCTTACATATTCGAATACAAATTTAATACCTCACGCAAGTGAGCTCAAAAATTCAACCCAAAAAAACAAACATCTTCGCTTCGCCATCTCATTCGGTTGAGTAGGACGAGGTGTTTGAGGGAATGGAGAGGATTTTGTCGGATTTGCCTCATAATTCTCGTATCCAAAGCATACGATAGATAGTACTGATAATAGAAATATTAACCATTTGTCCATTTTCTGAAAAAAAAAACTATGAATAGACTGTGTGAAGCGTTTTGAAAAACCAGCTGTAACCAAAATGAAAGAAAATATTCCTTACAGTTAGCAAAGTTGTTCCACAATTCTTTTTCAAGGCTAGGAAAAGCCAAAAGCCAGGAAGCCAAAAGGCAGATCTTGAAGTTTGAGCTGGACTTTGAGCTGGCTTGACTTAAACCAATCAGCCACAAACATGGACTAGCTAGAGGCCAGTCTTATCTTGTACCAAACCAGTCTTGGATCAGCCTTTTTGCTGGCCTAGCTTGGCTTGACTTAAAGGATCTAGGGCTTAAAAGCATACTTGTTCTTGAAATTGTGAGAAACGGTTGAGTTGTCATAGCTGTCATTATCATATAAAAGGTAAAGAGCAACTACACTGCTGGACATAATCCTACGACCATCCCATTTCTCAAAAACTTTTTAAGAACAATAATATTCTATCAAAAATCAGATTTTAAATAGTATTTATAATAATAATTGATGTAAGAAGAGAGGAGAAAACCTGAGCATCAAGTTTAATTTAAAAAAAGATTTATTGAAAAGCCTCTTCCGGCAAGTGATCATAATTTTACAAGAAAGAAAGCGGCTTTTCAATAAATCTTTTTTTTAAGAATTAAACTTGATGCTCAGGTTTTCTCCTGTCTTCTTACATCAATCATCATTATAAATACTATTTAAAACCTGATTTTTCATGGGATATCATTGTTCTTAAAGTTTTTGAGAAATGGGGTGGTCGTAGAAGTAGATTCAACAGTGTATAGCTTATTAAAAATTACAAATCAAAAAAGTGCAAGCTCAGAAGTTGATAAGAGATAAAAACGACAAAAGTTTTCAATCAAGCGAATCAAATTCAATGATCAGATTCAAATATTCGCTATGATTCATTGAAAAGCCGCTTTCTTTCTCAAATGATCGTAAAATCATGACCACTTGCCGGAAGCGGCTTTCCAATAAATCTTTTTTTTGATAATTAAACTTGATGCTCAGGTTTTCTCCTGTCTTCTTACATCAATTATTATTATAAATACTATTTCAAATCTGATTTTTCATGGGATACCATTGTTCTTAAAGTTTTTGAGAAATGGGGTGGTCGTAGAAGTAGATTCAACAGTGTATAGCTTATTAAAAATTACAAATCAAAAAAGTGAGAGGTTATAAATTGATAAGAGATAAAAACGACAAAAGTTTTCAATCAAGAAAAGCCGAGAGAATCAAATTCAATGATCAAATTCAAATTCAAATCAAGAGAATCAAATTCTATGATCAGATACAAATATTCGCTTAAATTCTTGTCCACCGAAAACGAATCTCGTTTAAAAATTGTATTGAACTACAAAATTTCATAAAAATTCCCAATCCTTTACAAACTTTAGTCCTTTTTTGATTCAAAACTCAAAAAATGGAACGGCATTAGGAATTTAAAGTGAATTTGGCTCTGGCCTCATAATGGGTCCCTCATAATGGCCCCATAATGGCTCTTTTCATTAAACTCCTTTAGGGAATTGCGTTAATTTTTCATCAATCAGGAAGTGATTTCGATTCAGAGATTCTGGAAAGGCTGGAAAGAAGGGATTTCTGGAAAGAAATTTCTTCTTGAAAGGCGGTCTGGAAAGGAATTTTTGGACTTCTCGTTCTCAGAAATTGTAGAAGTTCAGAGCTATTTACGGGCTATTGCTCAATGAACTTTAGATGCCAAAATTTGTACCAAATTTTCGAAAATGCAAAAAACATCTGTTAGTTCTAGTATTTCTGGAAAGTGCGAGACTTTTTTGTGCAAATAGACTTGTTCCTTTCGAGTAATTCACTATCGTAAAGGAACCTACCTATTTTAGAAAAACACCGTCATCAAACCGCTAGTTTACATTCAATTAGCTCAGTTTTTGAGATGATTCGCTGAAGAACTGAAAGGTTAGGCTTATGATACAAAATTTGGTTGATTCTGTGTAAACTGATGATTTGATTGCAGTAGTTTTCTTTCGATTCAACTTACGATAGTTTTTAAAACAGATACCGTTTAGATAACGTAATTTAATCGACTCTAGATCGAGTAAAAAGTATTCAGCTAACTAGGCTAATCGTTTTTTAAAGTTCTTTAATTTAAAAAATAATCAATTCAGACGAATAATGTTGGACAAACAATACACAAGCATAACCCCAAAGCCCTAAATATAGGGAAGAAAAAAAACCCATATACTGTATTCTCTCTAATAGTAGTGCACCCTAAACTTCGCCTAAATTGCTCGAAATCTCGAAAAGCGCTTATCAGAACCTATCGATGTGGAGTCGGAAAATGTAGCTGACGATGAGATCTAGTGGGGGATTAGAGTGTTGAGCTTCTGCGAAAACTTGGGAACTGTAAAATAGTCATCAACTCGGCTCGACCGTGTGCACTACTATTAGAGAGAATACGGTACATCTAGGAAAAAAGAACTGATAATCTAGCCGTAAGAACTAATAATCTAATCAAATTGAACCCTTAGCCTCCCGACTAAGCTATAGGACTCTTAGCCAGTCGATTAAGCCAACCGGATTAAAGCAAAATTTTTAAAACTAATAGATTTTGCTAGGTACTAGGTTTTCTCCTTCATGAATAATACCTGTAAAGGACAAAGACTAATTTAACAATTGATGGAAAACATGGATTCAATTCGATTATTCCCACCACCTCCTCATTTCGGTGATGCCTCCAGCAGTCAATTAGCATATAGGGATATATTAACATACAAAACTTTCGAGATCTAAACGCTGCTAGCATTTGAAGTATTTAGAGCAGTGTAGAGCAGTGTAGAGCAGTGTATTTAGGGTCTTGGTTTAACGTAGATAAATCCAAGCCTGAGCTGGTAAGACGGTATTGGAAAGCTGTAAGATTAGTACACCACTTCTGGATTTCTAATTTCCAACTTGTTCACTATTTCAAAGTTTCACCCTTTCAAGATCAGATCCTCAAAAAAATCCATTTATCTATCTTCACCGATAAAAGATTTTGACTTCAGTTTATGCAAAACGGGGTGTGAATGGAGTGAAAAGTGAAAAGAAAGAGGTAAATTTTTAATCAGGCCACAGATCCACTTCCGTATTCCATTCGCTGAAGCCAAAAACAATTCACAATCTTCATAACAAACTTTTGACGCTTAGATTTTGGGGTGAATCTTTTAGGGTGAATCCGAGCGGATCGGCCGTTTCCAAAATTATTCCCCCAGGATCTTCGTTTTGTTTTGTATGTTTTGTATGTTAATACAAAACAAAACTGGATGGTATTGACTGGCGGGGGTAAAACTGAAAGCTGTAAGATTATTACACCACTTCTGGATTTCTAATTTCCAACTTGTCCACTATTTCAAGGTTCCACCCTTTCAAGATCAGATCCTCAAGAAAATCCATTTATCTATCTTTATCAATAAAAGACTTTGACTTAAGTCTATGTAAAACGGGATGTGAATGGATCTCTTTTGGGGTGAATCCAAGGGGATCGGCCGTTTCCAAAATTATCCAAGTTTCCAAGGGGATCCCCCAGGATCCTTGTTTTGTTTTATATGTTAATACATATTGGAACCGTATTGGATCAAAATAGGGACTGTATTAGAACCGTATTGGATCAAAATAGGAGCTCTATTGGAACCGTATTGGAACCGTTAATACAAAACAAAACTGGACAGGATTGACTGGCGGGGGTAAAACTTAAAATGAAACAATTGAATGAATAAGATGAAACAACTTAAAACAATTGTATAGCGGGATAGAATCGAAAATTACCAAAACATGTTTTGAGAAGAGACAAGTGACAAAACAACAACTCAAAAAGAAAATGAAGAGGCAAATTTTCAGGTCACAGATCCACTTCCCCATTCCATTCTGTGAAGCCAAAAACAATTCACAATCTTCATAACAAATTTTTGACGCTTAGATTAAAGTTCCCTTTCTGAACGCTGAAAGCAGCAAAGTGAATTATTCTTTTTTTTCTCTTTTGCAAAGGAAGACTCGCTTTTGAAAAACTTGGGATTTTGGCTTGATTGGTCAAATTTCTTCGGGACAAAATCGAGTTGAGAAAGGTTTTCTGTTAAAGGAATGTATTGGTTTTAAGTTTAAAATTTTGATTTAAATAAACAATTGAAACTTTATGCCATTTTCAAAAACAAAGTCACCCAACAGATGTGATTTTAGGTTTTTAGAAAACTGACAAGAAACAAAGGCAAAAGAAAGCTGATATTTGACACCAAAGTTTTCGCTTTAACGGCCATGTTCTGTGAACAGGTGAACAAAAGACGATTGCGAGAATGTGAAAAGATAAAAGAGATAAAAGAAATTTGGGAAAACAGTGTTTAGCTGTTCTTTTGGCTCGATATACTCAAGGTAGATGGAATTTTTTTTTGTTTATCTCAAGACTTATTCCCGAGTCCCACTAGACTCAATAAAAGAAATAGATCTTCGATTCCCGATTCCCGATCGATTCCCGAGTCCGAAAACCCCCAAAAACCGATACAAATTTAGAGCTGAATATCTTCATTTGGCACCAAGAACCAACACAAAGCTCCTTGTGAAAGAGGCGCTCTTTGTGCGGTCGCGTAATCACTCGCCGCCTGGCAAAGCCCTCTGGCATAAGGTGCTTTGGCTTTGGCATAAGGCGCTTTGGCTTTGGCATTACTCTCGTTTCTCTTTCCAACTGATCCTCATCCCAGACCGTTTAAACTTTGCCGCTCTTTGGCCTTGCTATGCTCAAATTTCTATGAATAATCCTATGAAAAATACATATTTCTATTACACTTTTCCTTCGATGTGACAGCTTTCTATACACTGTTCTTTAAACTGCGTCATCAATCTCTTAAACCTGAGGTTGCACTACTATTAGAGTACTTAAAAATTAGAGTACTTAAAAATACGGTACTTAAAACATTAACTTGAGTCCCCATAGAAATGCCTCTACAACATTTCTGATAGAGTTCCCATAGAAATACCTCTTCAACCTTTCTGATAGAGTCCCC